TGTCAGACAGGGACATTTCTTCACTTTCTAAATTATCAGCACATCCTGCTGGTTTCATTCCTAAACTATTTTTTTGGGTCTGTCTCCTTCTCCCCACTTCCTTTGCCATCCCTTGGTGCAATCGACTGTCTTCTCATGCTGCAATAGCCTGCCTTCTCTCCTTTTACAATCCCTTATCCCCACATCAGATCATGTTGTTCCTCTGCCGAGTCCCCATGATACTGGGTGGCCCACAGGCCCAGCTAGACCTGGCTCTGCTCACCTGTCTGACCTCCACAGCCCTGCCTAGCCACATTGGCAGCTGCTGCTGCAGAGCAAGTGATTGTATTTACTCACTGCTCCTTCTCTGGGAAGCTCTTCCCCCACATCCACATAGGGTTCCATACCTCTATTCATGTCCCCTGTCCAGAGTGGCCTTCCTGGGCCCCTCACTATCCTTCCAGGAACCCTCCAATTCCTTGTCCTACTTTTTTTGGAAGAGTTACGGCTACTTGGCATTATATTGAATGAATCATTTATTGTCACCTCCAGGGAAGTGCCATAAGGGCAGGGACTCTGGCTAGTTCATTAGTGCATTCTGGCCTGAAACAGTGCCTGGCACACAGTAGAGGGTCCATAAATCTTCATTGAGTAAAAGAGGAGAAAAGCCCTTCTCACACATCAACAGTACAGACAGGCCATGGAGGAGCTGTGTGTAATTCCGCATAATAAGAGCTGGACTGGAGGGGTGCCCAGGGGCTGCAGGCGCAGAGGAGGGAGGGCCACGAATGGAGCCAGTGGAAGCTGACCCCTGGGCTGATTCTGCTGGATGAGTAGGGAGGGACTAGCAAGACAATAACAAAGGTTATTCCAGACAGAGGGACTCCTCCAGCAGGGAGAAGACCGAATCCTGTCCCTGGCACTGGGGTGGAGACAAGGACTACTCGGGTAGGAGAAGTGGTGAGAGTTGGTGGAAGATGAGGGAAGGAGAAGGAGGCAGCTAGGATGTAGCTCTTGGCTAGGGCACCTGTGGGCATGGTGGTCAAAGTCCACCAGCAGCAGTAGGGATACTGGCCAGTGCTAGCGTTCACACACTGAGGCGTTCCTGGCTGTTGAGCTGAATTTTACAAAGGGAAGCCTTTTGGGGCCCCCTAGTCTGGCCTGGAAAATAAGGTCATCACATACATATTCTCACAGGGAATGTGCTAGACAATGGATCTGGGGCCCTGCAGAACTCCTGAGTGGGGAAGGAGGAATGAATCTAGACACTAGGCTTTGCCCCGATATCCCCAACCCCTACCCTGTGCCAGAAATGACCCTCAGGCTTGGTGTGAGGTGCACACCTGGGGAAGATTAATCCCAGGACTATTTCGGGTTGCACTGAGAACATCAGGCTTTTTAACATCCAGTTCTGATATCTCAAAACAGCTCTGATAATTCCTGGGGACAGATGAGTGAACTGTGGCCCAAAGAGGGCAGGTGAGGTTCAAGGCTGCTGAGCTGGCCTGTGGACCAGCCAGGGGTCGGAGCCAGGGCTCTCCACTGCCATGGAGTGTCTCCTGATAGTTGTGACCTGCAGTTAACAGCTGAGCCTTTCTTGCCCCTCTCCTACTTCTCTAGGAAGACACTTCAGTCCTTTGAATTGTCAGGCTGCAATTTTGAGACTCTGATTTCTGTGCGTTTGCTGTGACGGGTCGTGTGCTATCTCGAGACAGCAGCTGTTCTGGCTCTAGAAATAGTGCTGAGCTCACTGAAGGGCTGTTGCCCTTGGGAGGGGGAAGGGCTGCTGACTGAGAAAACCCCCAGAGAACAGTGGCTGTCAGAGTCAGGGAGAGGAAGTGCAGTGACATTATTAAGAGCAGGGGTTCCAGGCTCTCACAGTCCTCAGGTTTTTTTCCAGTGCCACCATTTACTAGCTGAGTGACCTTGGGCAAATTACTTTACCTCTTGTAGTTCGAGTCTCAGATATAAAATGGGGGAAATTATGCTTGCCTCATAGGGTTATTGGGAGGATTAAATGAGACCAAGTTAAAGAGTCTGGTATCAGGCTGCACAGTTGTGCAAGGTGGGCACTGCACAAAGATGCTCAGGCAAGGAGTCAAGTGGGGCTGAAGTACAGCTTACTCTCACTTGACCAGCCATGCACCTGGTGCATGTGGCTTAATTTGTCTGAAGAAAATGGTGCTTTTTCGTGATTTGCACAGAGGTGCCATATGGGCTAGTGGTATCTCTAACCAGTGTGGAATAAGTAAACAACTCCATGGTTCTCTGAGACTCTGCACCGAGCTCGACAGGCGTCTAGGTGTTCAGATTACTGAGCTGGGGTAGCTTCCCTGTTCACCTAGGGCTAGTGGAGGTTTAACAGGTGTTTGTGCATGACACAGGGACCCCCCTGGGTTCCTATTCTCTGGAATACCATCCGTGTCTGGGGGTGGGGATGGGGAAGTGTTAGATAGAAAGCTGAATGCATGGACCTCATCTTGTAGCAACCAGTGGTTGCTGGGACCCAGAGTACTTTGGCCCCCAAGAAAGGAACCATGGCCCTGGAGAAGCTCTGGAGAGGGAATCAGGCCAACAGGGGAGCCTCTGTGGGGCAGGCTCTTGGGGAAAGGCTCAAAGGAATTACAGACCTAGACTCTCAGAGGGCCAGACCCTGAGCATGCTGAAAGGAGGCCTCCTCAGGAGAATCGCTTGAACCCGGGAGGCAGAGGTTGCAGTGAGCCGAGATTGTGCCACTGCACTCCAGCCTGGGCGACAGAGCGAGACTCCGTCTGATATCAAAGCACCCAGCTTCCAGCAGCCAAAATGATGCTGGCGCCAGGCTGCATCTGCTCTGCCTCCATCTCTGCCCTCCGCTAAGTGAGAAGACAAATGCAGAAGGCCAGAAAGAGGTGAACACAGTGGCCCTGTGACATGAGTTCTCCTCCCTCTGCCCAGATTGGCTGCAGCTTTGTGGGCTAAGGAGCTAAGGAGACCTCCTTTCTTTCTTTCTTTCCTTTTTTTTTTTTTTTTTTCTTCC